GTGAGAGCCCGCAGAATGTTTCTTCGTGTCCTATTGTCTGTTCTGCGCTGTCTCTGGGGACCCAGAGAGTAAACACCTCTGATGGGAAGTGCAGTGTGGAAGGATGTGTTGTGCAGGAGCAGTGACTCAAACAGCAAGCCCTACGAGCTTTTTGTGTGGGCTGCTGTATTCAGCTTCTGGAAGAAAGAGAAGACCGCCTTGGCCTTCTTTGTGCTTTTCAAATTTGCAAGGCCCTGCCACATTACCCGGCTTCCAGCCCTGGGCGGGGAACGTGTGTGTCCACAAAAGCCTATGAGAAGAACTTTCCTAGTCGAAGGCCTGGGGCTGCTGCTAGTCTCCAGGAGTGCCCATTGACTTAGAAACACAGAAGGGACGGGATGAAGCCTCTCTGCCCCTTGGGGAGCACAGCAGGTGCTCCCACCTGTAGTCACTGTAAGTTCTTCCTTTCGGTATGGCTATCAAAACTAAAAACACAAATCCACCACAAGAATGAGGTTCCCTCTCCCCTGGTAGGAAAGAAAGCCCACGGTTGACTCCTTTCTTCACCCCCTGACCCACTTTAAAGAGCAGCATGATTGCAAAAGCCCTGATGAAATTTTCTGTGGGGTTTGCATTTGCTTCCAGGACTTTGACACTGCCTTTGTTGATTTTCCCTTTCTCCTGCCAACCCTCCGTCTATCTACCTGTGTTGTGTTTGCTGTCTAGATCATTTTAAAATACAATAGCGTTTGGTGCGGAAGCCCTTTTGACTCTCCTTGTGATTTGTACTATTGGCGTGTTTTCTTTCAGAAAATAAGTCAATACGATCTGGAACTGAAGCAGGGTGGCTCCATTGTCAGCAGACGTAGGAGTCCCATGAGCCCTAAGAGTGTACACAGCCTTTGTAATGCCCAAATTCAGTGCCTCTAATATTGACGTCTGTGCTGCTGAGGAACCATCTAGGATCTGACTATCTGTTTACAGTTATCCGAAGGGAAATTAGCAGTCTTCCATATCAGTATAAGCCTTATAGAAACACAGCCCCACAAAGCAAGGAACTGTTTGTCCTGGCTGCTTGTGTTTAGCACTCAGAGCAGGGCTGGGCCCACAGTGGTGTAATTATTCCCCTGTAGTTTCCTGTTCGTGGGCTGAAGTTTTGCAGATGTCGTGGGACTCACATTCACTATGTGGGGTTCAAACCAGAGCATCCTCTGGGAGCTTTCCACAAATGCCACATGGAATAAGCTCTCAGCTAGGAAGTAACCCGACGAAGCATGTTCCCCCGAGCATGGGAAAGGCAAATGATTCTTTAATGGGCTTGGCTTACCTTTGTGCGTGGTGGGCAACTGGGCACAAAGGCCAGGACTGCTGGGCCTTATGTCTGTGTGACACAACTGTATTCCCGAGCTTAAGCTAGAAGAGCCACGTCCTTGGCCTCTTAGAGAACACAGACTCAACACTCCACCGTCTGAAGACTAACAAATAAGGCTGCTGTCTTCGCTAGAATATTTTGAGCAATGACACCTAGGCCCACAGGCTTTTTCTAGGGACCGTTTCTCCTGAGAGCTGTATGAAATTAATGGCTGCCTCCCCACATGCCTTTTATGAGGGCTCATCCGAATTGTGATTTACTAGAACAAATAAATGTACTTTGGATTTAAAATTTTTATCAATATATTTTTTCATTAACAACTTATATAAATTGCATGTTATAAATATTTTATGTATTGGGATAAATAACATGTTCTTGGAATTAAATTCACCTGTTTTGTTTTATTTTATTTTTATTTCATTTAATGTGACTGCTGTCAATTTGTTTTGTTTTGTTGTGGTTTGGGGGTTTTGATTTTTTTGGTGGTTTTTTTTTTTTTTTTTTTTTTTTTTGGCAGGGGTAAGTGTTGTTTTGGGTTTTCCCAAACTCACAAAGATCCTCCTGCCTCGGCCTCTTGCCTCTCAACTGCTGAGATTAAAGGTGTGAGCCACCATGCTAAATTAGCCTTCCTGACTGATAGTGTTAGCCTAACTCATACCATTTAGGCTTATAGTGCCACCTGCTGGCCCGCCAAAAACAAAATTTGAATGTGAGGAAAAAGTAGCCTGAACCAGGTCGTTGGTGGTGGGCACGCCTTTAATTCCAGCACTCAGGAGGCAGAGGCGGGTGGATCTCTGTGAGTTTGTGGCCAGCCTGGTCTACAAGAGCTAGTTCCAGGACAGGCTCCAAAGCTACAGAGAAACCCTGTCTTGAAAAAAAAAAATTAAGGAACCTGAGCTGGGTGTAGTAGCCCAGGCTGGCCTCTAGCTCCATGTGTAGCCGAGGATGCCCTTGAGCTCCTGGTCCTCCAGCCTCCACCTCCTGGGATTACTGAGATTGCAGCTTTCCAGGAGCCGCAGAAACATAAATGGTTGAGGAAGTCCCCAAACCATCAGCGCCGCCTCAGCGACGGCAGGAATAAACCCTTAGACGTTGCAGACCTGAGCCCCAAAGCCTGTGGTCCTGATGAGGCTCTAGAGATGGGGAGCCTGGGTTTGTGTCTCACCTTCTGCGTTAGGCATGAATCCAATGCTTTAGCCCAGGCTGGTCTCAAACTCAGTTTGTAGCTATGGATAGCCTTGAATATCAAATTTTCATGCCTCTACTTCTGGGTTTATAGACATGTGTCAGGCCTCTGTAGTTGCTGTTCTTAAGAAATAATACATACCAGAATTTAACAACACAGAGAAGACACCTCCAAGGGCATGTCATTCTCTCTTTATTGTTTTGGGGTTTCTTACTTATTTTTACTTTATGGTTGTTTTGTCTGTGTGTATGTCTGTCTGCATATCTACCCGAGTGCCTGGTGTCCACAGAGGAGGAAAGGACATTGGATCCCCTGGAACTGGAGATACAGATGGTTGTGAGCTCTCAAGTGGGTCCTGAGAATCAAACCTAGGTCCTCTGGAAAAACAGCTGGTGCTCTTAACTACTGAGCCATCTCTCCAGCCCGTCATTCTCTCTCTAGAAAGTGTTTGCCTTAACTTGTCAAGGACTTGAAAGTAGGAATCTTGGTGATAAATTAAGCATTTCCACGTGATAAACGACCCCAAATCTTATTGGCTTACAGAAGCAGTGGGTCACTTAGCATCTCTCGCAGTTTCTGAGTGTGAGGAACTCAGCCGGCCCATCTGAGCCTTTCCAGGGGCAGGTGTCTGTTGAGCTTGAAGGCGGGTGTTGGCTGGGGCTACAGTCATCTGAGCATCTCACTAACTTCAAGGATCCACTTCCGAACTGGCAAGATGGTTCATCATGTCAGGGTGCCTGCCGAGTCTGACTCCCAGAAACCATACAGTGAGAGAAGAAAACTGAGTTCAAAATAAATGAATGTGTTTCCCAGGTGGTCCATTCAAGTAACTGGCAGGACAATGGCAGTGAGTTGGAGGCACCAGGTCTGCCCTACAGAGCAGCCAGTGTAGCGGGACTAAGTACGAGTCTCGGTGCCCTTCAAGGCATGGCCTCAAGAACACATAATGCCATCTGCTGAGATGCACCTATCAGAAGGAAGGCTTGTGCATCTGGGTAGAGGAATAGCAGCATTATGTTGTAAGAGGAAATGTAAGGTGTGGTGGCCATTCTTTAAATAAATATTCTAAGTGTCTACCGTAACACAAACCTAGAAAGCATACCTTGTTTTGCACATGAGGAAATTGAGGTTCACAGAAGTGACGTCACCTCCTTGAGTTCTCATTCTGTGTGAGCAGTAAAGCCCATTTCCGACAGCTCCTATCCAGGCAGGCTATCTCCTTGTGTTTTGTATATGTAACAAAGACTCTGGCTGACTGTTGTGTATGTTCCGTGTCTTCAAGGTGTACTTGCCTATCTTTCAAGTCTTTGCATCAGTCCTTAGAAGACAAGTTTACATTGGTCATTTTGTTGAGCTCACTTGTGGAACTCGTAGAAGAGAGTGTTGATAAGCCGTAGTCTCCCTAAAATTAACAGTTTCCAGTGTGAACCTCAGGAATGATAACGTTATAATTTGTGTGTGTTTCTTTTGCATTTTCCTTTTTTGGGGTGTGTGTGTGTGTGTGTGTGTGTGTGTGTGTGTGTGTGTGTTGAGACGTATTCTCACTTTGTACCCCAGACTGGCTTCAATCTTACTATGTAGCCTATGCTGTGCTCAAACTCAGTCCTCCTCTTCCTCGTCCTCCTCCTGAGTGTTGGGATTAAAGTTATACACCACCACACCTGTCTTTCTTGTGTGTGTTTGTATTGTTGAATTATACAAATATTTCATCTCACTGTACTTGACACAAGAGATTATGAATCACTACCTGCTTTCAGTGGTTTCCATATGATTTGGTCATCTTTAAAAAAAATGATTTGGGGACTGGAGAGGTGGCTCCGCAGTTTAGAGCACTGACTGCTCTTCCTGAGGACTCAGCTTCAACTCCCAGCCCCCACATGGTGTCTCACAACCCTCTATAGTTCCTGTCCCAAGGGAGCCAACGCCATTTTCCGGCATCCATAGGCACTGTACACATGGTGCAGAGAGGTGCATGCATGCAAAACACCCATACGCATAAAATTAAAAACAAAATGGAAAAACAAGCAAGCCAACAGGTGAGGGTTTTTTTTTTTGTTTTTTTTTTTTTGGTTTTTCAAGACAGGGTTTTTTGGAGTCTGTCCTGGAACTAGCTCTTGTAGACCAGGCTGGTCTCGAACTCACAGAGATCCGCCTGCCTCTGCCTCCCGAGTGCTGGGATTAAAGACTGGACAGAAGGCTCAGCAGTTGAAAAATGTGTACCGCTCTTGCAAAGACCCAAGTTTGGTTCCCAGCACCCACAATAGGCATCTCACAACTGTCTTACACCCTCTTGTGGCCTCCTGGCCTCAGTGGGCACCTGCACACGTGTGCACATACCAACATACACACACGCACGTGCACACAAGCAAATACACACACACACACACACACACACACACGATATTTTAAAGAAGTTTTACCAGCTCCAGCTGCTGTAACCCTACTCTGTGTTCTTGGTTCCAGGTTAAACTTCCTTTTCCTGTAGATCAGATCACAGATCTCCCCAGGAACGACTTCCAGATGATGATTAAGATGCACAAGCTGACCTCAGAGCAGCTGGAGTTCATTCACGACGTCCGGAGGCGCAGCAAGAACCGCATTGCCGCCCAGCGCTGCCGCAAGAGGAAGCTGGACTGCATTCAGAACCTAGAGTGTGAGATACGGAAGCTGGTGAGTGGGTGAGCAGGTAGTCGGCTCCCGGAAGTGACGGAGACTGACCCACAGTCACATCCGTTAGAGCTGGAGAAGTGGAGGGACAGGTTACCCGTCAGGGACATCTGGGTTTATTCTCAGCAGAAGCAATAGATTTGTATCTGGAATGTATGTAGATGTACAGGCGTGTCATCGCGTGTTATATCCTTCGAGTTCCTTATGAAATTGGTTCTTTTCGTTTTCCAGTTGTGTGTTATAATGAGTATATCTACTGTATGCATATAAAGACCAGGGACTCTTCTAAAGTAATTCTCTACTCCTATGCCTCAAAATTCTCATATCGAGCATTTTGGCCCATGTAATTGTGTGATTCTGAGCACACAGTAAAGATCTAAGCTATATACCTGGCAAATATCTAAAACACTCTATTGGTTTGTTCATTTGAAAGAGCAAAACAACACTGCTCTCCCTCCGTCAGCATTTTCCAGGTCTTAAATAATACACTCTGTGTTTTATTTTGCTTTCTAATGCCGCCACCAGAAGCACCTTGAGACAGGAACAGTATTATGGCATATTCATCCCTATCACAGTCCGTTGTGAAGGGAGGTCAGAGCAGGAACTGGAGGCATGAGCCAATGCTGAAGGCACGGAGCAAGCCGTGCTCACTGGCTTGCTCAGCTTTCTTCCGTATACATCCCAGGACCGGTACCATGCACAGTGGACTGGGGCCTCCTACATCAACCATTAATCAATAAAATACCCCCCATAGACTTGCCAGAGGCCAGTCTGATGGAGGCAGTTCCTCAATTGACATTCCCTCTTCCCAGATTATGCTAGCTTGTATCAAGTTAAAAAAAAAAAAAAAAAAAACTCTTGTCCTCTTGCCTCAGTGCTGAATAAGAGTTCCACATGTCCATCCACACACATCTGTACACCTGTGACTTAGAGATTCATAGTAGGGTCTTTGGCTTCGGCTTTGGTTTCTTACAAGAGGATCTTCCTATGTAGACCAGGCTGGCTTTAAACGCAGGCCTCCTGCCTCTGCCTCTGCCTCCCAGGCTTTGGTAGGGTAGGCATGTATCCCCGAGGTTCCCTGGCTTTAACCAAGGCTGTTCTTCCTTTTCTGAGGAAAGCTACCCTATTTTCTTCTCCCACGAAGTGTCCAGAACAAATTTTAAATGAGTAGGCAGGCCCACAGGCGGTAGTGCCTAGACCAAGGGGTCGCAACAGAAGGGCCCCAGACTCCTTTCCCAGAACGCACTGGCCCTCATATTTAGACCCCCGGGTTCAGTGGAGAGGAGGCCAAGTCACTGGACCCGCTCGCTTATGACTCAGTGGCGGGGTTGACTTGAGTGATCAGGGCCGGCCAGCCTGGTCCGCTGCGGCACCGTTCCCGACAGGCCCTGTACTCAGTTCCTGCTCCCACCCCCATGTCTCCCACGTGCTCAGCTCCCTAGTTTGCAGATGCACATAATGTATTTCTCTCAAGCTGCACTTGTACATCTGTTTATTTTTCATTTTTAAAACATGTTTTCTAGATAAATTTATAAATATTTTAGCAGGTGTCCTTTCCCCGTATAAATCTCTCTAGCACACATACCCACGCTGCCTGCCAGATTGCATTCATATCAGGCCATGCACAGTTCCTGTGTCAGAGACCTGCTCCTCTCTCCCCGCTTCACTTCTCCTCCAAGCTTGCCTCAGCTTGCCTGCAAGACTGGCAGAGGGCTGGCTACCACTCCCCCCACACAGCTACAGACACCCCGTTTCTTGGGCTCTGATATATATAGATATAGATAAAATGATATATATAACTATAATGTGTGAGTGTCATGAACCCTCTCCACACTTCCTCACACAAATATTGACAGTATAACTTGAATTTGTCTCCTCTTTGGGGCTAAACTCATCTCTCAGGGGGTGACAAGGGTAAGAAACCCAGGAGCATATGTGGAATTTTGTTTAATAGGAAAAACATCTTAGAACCTTGGGCCAGTATATTAGAGCACAGACTCCACATGTCTGCCCCTGCCCCTCCATCCAGTACCCAGGGATGATCCCTGCTCAGGATTCAGAGCATGGTTCCCAGTGTCCTACAGAGGATGTGCTGTCTCCAGTCTGCTGAGCTCTAGAAGCTGGGGAGTCTGCTGGTCAGGTCTACCACACAAAGTCGCTGATAAGCTGTCTTGTTTGCTTGCTTGTTTTTCTGTAAATAGACTTTCTTCTTCATAGTAGTTTTAGACTCCTAGCAAAACTGAATGGAGTATCGGGGGTTCCCAAATGTCCCTGACTCTGGACACTCCTGACAAGAGCAGAATGTTTGTTGTAAAGGATGAGCCTACGTTCACATACCATGTTCATCTAACGCCCTGCTTTAGAGTTCACACTCACTATTGTGCACTATATGGGTTTGCACAGGGTGCTGTCAGTGCCATAGTGTATTGAGTAGATTCATGGGCCTAAAACCCACTGTGCGCCACCATCTCTCCCTCCCACCCTTGACCCCTGGACGCTTGCTGGCTTGTTTTTGGTTTGGTTTGTTGTTTTTTTTTTTCTCTTTTGTTTTGTTTTGTTTTTTTCCCTATCTTTTTCAAAATATCAAACAGGCCGGGCGGTGATGGCGCACGCCTTTAATCCCAGCACTCAGGAGGCAGAGGCAGGCCGATCTCTGTGAGTTCGAGGCCAGCCTGGTCTAGAAGAGTTAGTTCCAGGACAGGAACCAAAAGCTACAGAGAAACCCTGTCTCGAAAATTAAAAAAAAAAATATCAAACAGTTAGTTGACTTTTACCCCACAAAAATAACATATTAGGGGAAGATTTTTCGACTCTAAGATTTGGAACCAAGAGTTTTCCAGTCAGTTCCTACAAACTCCAAACTCCAGGAGAGGGGAATGTCACTTGACTCTCTACAGCTTTACTGTTGGCGGTGACTGACTCGGACACCACCTGGGTGTCAGTGCCCAAGTGGTAAGGCAGCTAGCCGCCCAGCTGTGACGTGAGGCAGAAGTGTGTGAAAGCCACAGTCCCTGGACAATGTGCCTTAATGTGCTAGATTCTGGACTAGTCGATCTGAAGTTAGGTTACAATACAGGATGCCAAAACAAAGGTTTGAGAACCCTCTGAAATGAGACTTCGTGTCCTCTCACGCAGGCTTGATCAGGCCTTCTCGTTTCTTCCTCCCAGGTGTGTGAGAAAGAGAAGCTGTTGTCAGAAAGGAATCAGCTGAAAGCATGCATGGGGGAACTCCTGGACAACTTCTCCTGCCTCTCACAGGAGGTCTGCCGAGACATCCAGAGCCCAGAGCAGATCCAGGCCTTGCACCGATACTGCCCTGTCCTCGTACCCATGGATCTCCCCGGAGCCAGTGTTAATCCCCCTCCTTTAGGGGTCGAGCAGAGCCTTGCACCCTCCCAGTGTGCAGTAGGAGGAAATGTCCCCTGCTGCCTGGAGCCAGGGGCAGCTGCGCCTGGGCTCCCCTGGGTGCCCACCAACACCTCTGAGAATTGTACCTCTGGGAGGAGATTGGAAGGCACTGACCCCGGGACCTTCCCGGAAAGAGGACCTCCTCTAGAAGCCAGGAGCCAGTCCGTGACCGTGGACTTCTGCCAGGAAATGACTGAGAAGTGTACAACAGACGAACAGCCCAGGAAAGATTACGCCTAGCCGGTATGGTCAGCCCTGCCTCCAGTCCTCACACCTCTCCGGTCAGGCGTTCCTCTGCCGGCCAGTGGCGCTGTTCATCTGTGTCTCGAAGGACCAAGAGCGAATCTGGTGCACACTACAGCAGTCTTAGCAATACTGTTTCGAAGTATTCCCTCCTCTCCATAAGCAGGAGTGCCGGTTACCTTCACAATGGTGCTACCCCTTGCCCCGGCAAGGAAGACAGCAGTGCGGACACTGTCTGTCTGTGGGTTCATTGCAGACTTCACAGGGATAGACTACACCTCTAAGACCCAACCACGGATGTTTTTTTCTCAGTGGCCCATGTCACAAACCCTATCTCAGGAATTTCTTCTGAATGTTCAATTTTTTTCATTGAAGACAGCTTCTATACACATCAAAGTTTTATAGCTATACTGTACATATTATATATAATATATATGAAATATATCCATATGCAAAAGTCCTGCATGCCTCAATTTTCTCATCCTAAAACTGGAAACTTCGTTTATCATTTACAAAAAACAGGTTCCAACATTCCTCTTTTGTCTCTGATGCCAGAACTGGTTTTGTAACTGTCAACACGGTCATTTTTCTTGCTTCACGGTTCAGTTTCAATCTGTACTTATTTACAGACAAAATTCAATGTTGGAAGCTTTTTCTCAAGGTTTAATCTCAGACCTTTTACTTTTGTGGGTTTGGTTCCGACACCACCAAATGGTGTCGCATGAGTATCGTGGGTCTGTTCTTTTCTCCTTGTGTTCTCTCTTGTTGTTACAGATACTGTACAGCAATGGCCAACTTTGCCACTTGCACTGAGTTTTGAGTCAAACCTATTTTCTTAAATGAAGTTGTAACTTCAGTCTAACTCAAGTATATTGTATATTCTTTGCTTTTAGTTAAAAAGTAAAACATTTAAAAAGCTCTCAGGTGATAATTATGTAGGAAAAAAAAACAATCTTGCCAAATAATGAACCCATCCTAGGATGTGTAGACAACAATCTGCTTGACTATTTTTGTAGCTCATTTACTCCCCACCTTCCCTAAGTAAAAGCTGAAGTGCAGAGAAATCAGCGCTGACACTGGATGTTCAGTTCCTACGTGGGGAGAGAATGTGATGGCTCACGGAACTGATATCAAAGGAACAGGATCCTGTGGCGTGGGAGAATCCACAGGCAGAGGTGACAAGAAAGCCAAGGGAGACGGGCTTCCTTACCCAGGGAGGAATCCCGTTCATGTTGGCATTTCGTTCCTGCCTCCACATGCGTGTGTGCTCAGAAATGTCCGCTTCTCTGAGGGGCACAGCTAACCAGCCAGCCTCCCAGCTTTCCTGCCCAGACCTGAGGGTATTTGAATCATAGCCTCGGCCCCCTGAGTTTTAACTGAGCTCAGTGACAGTAGGAAAGAACACAGCAGCATCGAGCCTGAGATCCACGTGGGCAGAGGCTAATGTGCCCTTTTCCTTTTGTTCTTCAGATGCTCCCTGTACCATGAGGGTTTTGTCTCCCCCCACATCCTGTCCCTTCTCTGAAAGTCCACTTCGTTCAAGGCATTGAACAGATACCCCTAGGAGCCCTCTGCCCACCCCCAAAACCCTCCCCTCCACACACACCTTTTCCTCCCCAGATAACAGTCTGCTTCCCTTGCTAAAACCTAGTTGGCTTGCAAACCTAGAGAGCAGCTTCCTTGGCACTAAGGTATCCTGGCCCAAGCCATGTTTACGGAATGTGTGCCCCAAGGAGGCGTCAGCTCCCTCCTCCCAGTGGTCTCTTTCTTCTCTCGCTTGCTTGGTAGCCTGGAGACCACTCCAGCTGTGCAAAGTTGTCCGGAAAACTGATGTTGGGATGGGGTAGAGGGTCATGGGGGATAGACAGTTGGTTGACTTTGTTTCCTCATCTGTGACATTGTTCTTGGACAATATTAAAGCTGCATGCGAAAGGGGAAGTTGGTGTATGGCTAGGAGGCAAAGGTAGAACCCTGGCAACATATGTTCTAGTATTTTTAGCTTCTTTCTGTACCAGTAGTAGTGCTAAATGTTTAACTATGTACGAATACCAGAAGCTGTTGGTTCGTGCAGTAGAATTTAAGGGGGAAATGACTTCTTTTAAAATAGGTCCATTTTTAAAACCTGCCTCTGAGTTTCGAGTCTGTGTGTGTGTGTGTGTGTGCGCGCGCGGGTGCGTGTGTGTGCGTGTGCGTGCGCGTGTGCGTGTGTGTACAGATTTTGATACAGCTGGGCAGGAACTGCCATCCTCATCACACCGTTGGCATTTCTTGGTCTAGTCCAACGGTTCCCTACTTCACCAGGAGGCCAGCCTTCGTGAAAAGCTGGTAAAGCTAGCATTTAACCTAATGTGAATCACGTGATGCCCACAGCTGCCTATGACCATGCAGGAGTCAGCAGACAGTATTTTTTCTTTCTCTTAACTCTCTGATTGCCTTTTGAAGTGACCTCTTCTAAAGAAACACAAAGGCTTGTTTTCTGCTCGGGCCGTCAGCAGCGCAGAACAGCCTCTCGGCTTGTCTTGTGCTTCCCAGCTCCTGTGCCACATTCCACAGTTTACCCCCAAGTTTCTGTCTCACCAGTAGCTCGGCCCTGTGTGGTGGCCGTTCCTAGGGTGGGGGCTGGGGGCCGGGTCTCCTCATTTCTCTCCGCCCTAACCCCGCTCTCTTCTTCCTTCTATTAGCCTCTCCACCATTTTTTTTCCTCTTCTTCCTCCCAATCTCTGCCATGGGAACTAGTCTTAAAAACTTATTCTATTACGTTGGTATTTTTAACAAGTGATCTCATTCAGTACCCACCAGGAACGGCAGCTGACTGTGTGTAAATTGCTCATGGGACATATCTGTCCGTTACTGTTCCAAACCATTGCTTATCAAAAGTGTACCTGGGTTGATTCAAAGGGAAGGCTCACTGGGGACCAGAATCTAAATTCTTCAAGTAGAATTCAGAAACCCCCAATCTGTCCTTCCCTGGAGTCCCTCAGTCAGTCTCGTTCTCTCTATAGAAAAGAGAAGGGACGAGAACAGAGGAGAGTGTTTGCATATTAAGGGGACATTTAGTTGCATGTTTGAAGGTCTTTATTTTGAGGATATAGGACACTCCAATCACAGGCTGTATAGGAGGGTCACAGTGACAGCCTGGTTGGGTTTCCCTGAGGCTGAGGGGTGAATGTGAAGGTCCAGGGCCGGCACAGGTGACGCTAAGACTGGCAGAATCCTTCCCAGACGCAGCCCTCCCTTGGAGCAGCCTTTGTCTCCCTGTGTCAGGTTGCCCAGGCTGTAGGCAGCTGTGTGCTTAGCCCTATGTGTTTATTTCTCTGCGTTATCTGGGGGTGCCTTGGATAAAGTCGAAACTTCATGACTTCCTGATTCTGGAACAAAGCAGTTATAAAAAAAACTTTTTTAAAAGTTGGCGAAGTTACTAGGCCATCCTGCTACTTCTCTCCCAGGTTCCCCAACAATGACTCAGGCGTCAGGCGTGATGCTGCAGTAGAAAAACGTTATTTTTATGTCATACAAGTAATTTATTTGCTGTCTCTCTCAAGGTATGCTGCTTCTTAACATGCACTATGATTCTGGATGTAATCCTTGCATTACTTTGCCAACGAAGGTTTAAGGTGGCTAGTGACTAGTGTGCTAACTGCCCCTTCTCCTGGAAGGAGCTCCAGGGCACACGCAGGACCTGTGTGGAGGACTGGCTGAAGCCTACACTTGTGTTCTAATAGCTTATGGTTTGCCACTAAAGAAGAAAAGATGAAGCATACAAAGGCTTGAAAGTATAAACCTTTTCAGAAATTGCCCAGTCTTGCCCCAGGGGCTGTTCTGCAGCCAATGGAATCACAGAGTCCTCCCAAATGAGTCAGTCTGTCCTTGATAGCGTATTTCTGGTGGCCCGCTTAAACCAGAAGCTGTTGATTGTTGACTCCAAACTGCTCCGCTGTTGCCTACAGTGGAGGGGGACTCTCGGATCTCGATGAAAGCAAGAATCAAGGTTTCTCCTCAGATCTCTCTCTCCCTCCTCAACACCCCCACCGCACGCACGCACACACACAGCAGACTAAAGTAAGGGATTATTTTGAAAGAATAAAGCTCTTTGTTGTATCATGAGTTTGTATTTCCTTGAGGATTTTGTTGCAGATTCCATTTCTGGCGAGTCAGTCCTCAAATGCCTTGTAGGGTTGGTATTCATAAAGGAAGTCTGTGCATGGAGTTATTTTGTGTTCAAAATGTATAATACTGCCCGAGCCATCTCATGACCCAAGTGTCAAAAGACTGATGCTGTAGCATAGGATATATTTGTGCATAAGTAGTGTGTGCAAATAGTACTTGTACATTGAAGAGACTTGTCGTAGCAGATCAAAGGTAAATTATTCAACTGATGGTGCAAAAACATTACTTGCAAAGTAATTGTATAGTATTTTCCTACACTCCACCCTGGGAGATCATATTTATAACGAGTGAATTATTAGTGCATTTTAATTGTAATATGAAATGATGCTGCCATTTTGTGAAGAATACCCACTTGGTTGCAGAGGCCAACTTTTATAGCTTTGGTTTGATGTTGTGGCATGATGTATGCATTTCTCTATCAAGCGATGGATAAACTCTTGGCTTTCATTTTCATTCCAGTTTATTGACCTCAGATAAAACAATGGCTGTTCATGGAAGTGTATCAAGACCGCTCATTTCAGGTAGACTCACACTCAGTGCCAAACGCTCCCATGGGAATAATCAAACATATATATCAGGAAAAAGTGAAGGAACTTGGACAAAAATGGGTTTTCCTACAGATGGGTGCTAAATCTTCTACCAAACATGTCTCTGGGGGCAAAGAGTTGGCCTCCCCTTGGGTCCTGACCACGTATTTTGGCTGTGGCAATGCTGGGATGCCCATTCACACTCTGACACAAGAGCCTGGCACTTGTAATGAATTTATCAGGAAGATTGCAGATGCATTTGGGAGCTTCAGGTACTCAATAGACACAGTGAGCCATTCAAGGCAAGAGGGCCTGTGGGAATTTGTTCCAGAACCAGTCTGATGCAAGTGCACCTCTGATATATGCCTTACGAACTCCAGAGGCCATATGCAAAACAGGGTCTTCTCAGTGTATGCAAGGGGCTGCAGCCCCTCCTCTCCTCCTCCCCAGCTCAAACAATACGGACAGTTTTCACACATATCTACCTGTATAACCCTCCGTACCTCTCATAACTGGTCAACGACTGTAACAGGTTACATCAGGTGTTTTTCTACATAACTTTTTACACAGATTCTATGCGATTAATGTAACTTAATTCAACGCATCATTTTATTGTACAAGTTCTTACGCTTGGCCTTATTTTTTCCTAAGTGATTGTGGTTTTTCTTGTGGTTTTTCTTGTAAAGATATTGAGATGGCTGTTGATGCTTATTCTCTGTAACTAAGAATTTTTACCTTTTTGGGGAAAAGCATTGCTATGGATTAATGAATTGAGACTTCATTTACTCGTTGTAAATACACTCTTGTGCAAAAAAAATCACTCAGTTGAATTGCTAGTGTTAACTGAATTTTGTCTAGACGCCATTTCTGTTGATGAAATAAAGACATATCATTCTGCATTGTAAAAGTCTCTGATCCTGCGTTACATTTTGCAGAGTAGAAAACCTCAAGTTTTCTCCACAAAAGGCCATCTTTTGCCCTGTGGTTTGGACCCTTCCCTGCTTCCTGACTGATCAAATGAGAAATCTTAAGAATTTAGTAACGTGCCAGGTTGTGGTGGTGCACGCCTTTATTCCCAGCAGGCAGAGGCTGGCACGTTTCTGTGAGTTCAAGGTCAGCCTGGTCTACAGAGCGAGTTCCAGGACAGGCTACAAATATACACAGAGAAACCCTGACTCAGAAAAAAAAAAAAAAAAAGAAAAAGAAAAGAAAAAAAAAAGAGGATAATGCTATTTTTAACATGAATTTTAAGAAATCCCATTGCACATGA